TGAGTAATGGGCTAGATCTTCTTTTAAATATCTTCTGGAGACACTCTAGTTCTCGCTTATAATAGTCCCTGTCTTCTTCTATGGTCTTCACAAATGCATCTAGGCGAGAAGGGGACTTGTCTCCAAGTGCTATGCCACCCTCAAGCCTCATTCTCTCCAGCTCTATGACAAGTTCCCGATCTGCAACAGGCCACAATCAACAAGGATGAAATTTCTAGACATGTGAAGTCTTCAGCTAAAGCATTCATTACAAACATGATAAAGAAAAACTCTTTCAATTTTTTTCTATTTCTAATGAAAGAAGGGAGGGGAAGAGAAAGGAAGATTTATGATAACCCCTGGGGAAAATTGGCAGGAAGTCCAAAATCGCACGCCCTGCTTTTTGGTCCGTCCTTAGTCATTCTGTTTCTCTATTTAGGTAGGGGAATATCTCTGAAACGATGGTCCAATGGGTTAGGATTAGGACAAGGGATAGGGTTAGAGTTTATTTAATATTTGTCAGTTGTAGGATACAATAATTATATTATATTAATATACAGTAACCAAATATTTAAATTTTCAAAATAGTATTATTCTAACAACTTTTGTAAAGGACTCTGCTCTCCTCAGGAAAGGAACCAAAATCTGAAAGAATTAGTGGGAAAATATTTAATAAACAATTCAGTTATGAATTATGTAAATGTTCCTGACTCTCCTTCATTAGATTTCCCCCCCCCCCCCCAAGATTTCATTTGAGGCAGGAAATCCATCTCTAACAGCCCATGGGAATGTAGATACTTACTTATAATTTCAAGGTTTTCAACTTTTTTGGACAATCTGTGGTTTTCTACTTGAGTCTGGTTTAATAGTATGTCAAGATTTTGTTTTTCCTCTGTTTTTCCAAAGAGTTCTTCACTCAATTTTTCTTTTTCTCTGCGATAGGAAGATAACTCCTAATGTGACAAAAATATTACAAAACTTAGAATTGTGGCTATAATGACATTTAAAAAACCCAATTTTTTGACTGCGTAACATTTCTATATATTCAAGTTAGATGCACCAAGCATTCATTGCACTTCAGAGAAATTATAAAATCTGGCTTAGATACAATTTGATATATTATTTATAAGCTGACAATTAGTCAATTTGTATTATTTATAGGCTATTCAATACCCAGAAAATCTCGTGGTGGAAAAACCATCTATTAAAAACAAGATAAAACAATGAAGACAAATAAAATAAAAACACAGTAGTTAAAATATACAGTATCAAATAAAGATTATTAATAGAAAAGTGATTAAGAGATCAAAGCAAGGTTGAGCTAAATTTCACATGAGTACAAACCCCAATTTCTTTACCTTAGGCGGAGGGATATGTTTAGTCAGCACTAACGTAGCCTCTGCTGAAAGGCGTTCCAAAGTCATAGTATCACAATAAAGTCCTCTCCTGCGTTCCCACATAATGCACTCATATCAGTCATGAAACAATGAAGAGCTCCTGCACTACAGGTCATAGGCCAGGGGTCTTCAAATTTGGCCCTTTTATGACTTGTGGACTTCAACTCCCAGAATTCCTCAGCCAGGCACGCTGGCTGAGGAATTCTGGGAGTTGAAGTCCACAAGTCATAAAAGGGCCAAGTTTGAAGACCCTTGTCATAGGCAAATATATAGTAGGGGTGTTCTCCTCAAGTACTGCAATCTTAAACAATTAAAACATTTAAATGGGAGTAACGAGATGGAGTTACTGGCTCCCAGTGCAGTTCTTTGAGAACTGGTGCTATTTTGTCTAGGAAATATAACAATAGCTTTATTATATAGCCATATTCTGCACCAGAAGGCTTGAAGGGCAGACTCATTATGCGGTAGGACACGATACAGTGCAGTTAGCCAGATGACAACTCAAGGGACAAAATGGATCCGGGAGTAAAACCGGGCTGTAAATGATCTTTCAGAGAAAACGAAACCCCATCCAAAATGGAGACTGATAACATTTTTACCCACAGTATTTTTAATTCTAGGATTGAGAAGAGTGAAGAATCTTACTCTAGCACAGCATTATCATTTCTCTGTTATTATCTGATCTATAACGACTTAAAAATATTCAAACAAGAATATGCCAATTTTTGTCCTCGGTGAAAAACCAGATACACAAATCAAATCAATACAATACTGAAAGTTTTCATCTAAATACTGCAAGACATTCTAACTCTACCAGTTTTATTCTGGATAATCTTCAGTAGCATGGATATTTAGAATATTTGTATTGGGCTTATAAAACTTACTAATAAAAATCTATTACAATGGTGTCAATATAAAAAAGCAGCTTTGTTTTAACTATTTATTGATTTGTTTTCTTACGCTATTAATAATTGTCTTGAGC